GTGCTAGGAATGAAAAATTGCAGGGAAAGAAAGTTCATCTTTCAAATGACCGGCTGCGGGTTGATAAAGAAACGTACATTTGGGACGACAAAAAAAACTGCAGAGTAAAGCTAGCCAATTTTCAGAGTGGATTAGTGGCCCCTTAACGAAAACCGCCTGAAGAGAAAGAGTTTCGGCTGTTGAATTTAAATGCCCGAAGTATTGCAAATAAATCTGAACAGCTTGAGGCTATCACCCTGGCTAATAACCCACATGTGGTAATTATTACGGAAACCTGGCTGCGAGGTGAAATTTCGGATGAAGACGTTTTCCCCCCATCGTATCGCGTTTTCCGACGAGATAGGCCGTCAAGGGGGGGAGGCGTCGCTGTCTTGGTCAAAGGATACATTGATGCCCATATCCTCAGTCAAATCGACAATCATGAAAGCATTGCAATAAAACTATCTTGTTTCGGCAGACCATTTTTGTTATTCGCGGTTTATCGCCCTCCTGACTCACCACCTCAGTTCTTAAGCGATCTCAGCAACCACATGTTAACGTTCAAACAAGAAAATATATTCCTTGTCGGCGATTTCAATCTACCGGAAATTGATTGGAACCGTCCTTCCCCGTCCCCTGTTCATTGCACAAGCTCCTCACATTTGCTTGATATAATGCTAACCCACAATTTGCACCAAGTAGTAAAACAACCTACACGTATTCAGGGTGCTTCTGCGTCTATTCTTGATCTTGTGTTCGTCAGTCAATCAATTGAAACATTTAGAGTGTCTGTGGAACGTGGCCTATCAGACCACGATATGGTTGTGTTTTCTTTTCCTGTGAACGCTAAGTATGAAACGCCTCGTGCGAAAAAAACTGTTGTAAAAGATTTCTCGTGTGCCAGAGATGAAAGTGTGCTTGACTATTTCGAAATTTGTCTGAGTGATTTTAATGGCTCTGATACTGCTGACTTATGGACAAGGTTTAAGGAAATATGTACTTATTGCCTCAATAACTTTATACCAAACAAAGTTAGGAAAACTCGTAAAAACAATCCCTGGATCACGCGCGATGTTTTGCACGCGAAAAGAAAAGTCAAGCGTTTGAAGCGTAAAGCTGCCTGTACGAGTATTATCGGTGTTGCGCAGTCTAACCTCAAAGATGCCGTAGTGTGCGCAAGGCGACGTTATTTTGAACAGACCCTGCCTGACTTTATTCGCTCCGCTCCGCATAAATTTTGGACTTTTCTGCTCAAAAAGAAAAAAAAACAATTCAACCAATGCTACATGAGGGTATCGCCATCACTGATAAGCATAGCATTGCTGAAAACTTCAATAAGTATTTTCATAGCATTTTTCTTAAATCTGATGATGCAGTGCCTTGCTCCGTATTATCTTCCGCAAGCGAAGCTGATATTGTCTCACAGCCTGGCGTATTTTCCATGTTGTTGAACCTCAAAACGAAAGCGTCAACCGGTCCTGATGGCATTCCGAATATTTTTTTGCGCCGCTATGCTGAAATCATATCCCAATTTTTAGTAATCATTTTTCGAGCATCTCTTTTGTCTGGTGTTGTACCTGAGGATTGGAAATTAGCCCGCATAGTTCCAGTATTTAAAAAAGGCGACGAGACGCTGTTTACTAATTACCGTCCAATCTCTCTGACTTCTTCTTGTTGTAAACTTCTAGAACACATTATAGCCGACTACATTATAAATTTTTTAAACAGAAACAACTTATTATCTGACTGTCAACACGGCTTCAGAAAAGGATTTTCCACGGTCACACAACTCACTTCTATTGTTCATGACTTTGCTAGCGTTCTTGATAAAACTGGTCAAGTTGATGTTATTTTTCTAGACTTCCAAAAAGCCTTTGATTTAGTTTTCCATGTTCATTGAATGCACAAGTTAAAAGTGATAGGTCTTCCAGCTTTTGTAACCAATTGGATCTCTTCCTACTTGTCGAACCGCTTCCAATATGTTTGCATCGATGATCATTCCTCTACTCGGCTTCCTGTTCTTTCGGGTGTTCCACAAGGCAGCGTATTAGGCCCATCATTATTTCTAATTTATATTACGATCTTGTATTCCTTATTAGTGATCCCGTGAAAATTAAATTATTTGCCGATGACTGTATTCTATACAACAAAATAACACGCCCTGAAGACCAACAAATGCTAAACACAAACCTTAATTATGTTCAGGCATGGTGCGAAAAATGGGGAATGAAGCTCAATGCCAAAAAATCCGTTTTTATGAACATAACTAACAAAAAGAATAAGCTGTCCTTCCCTTACAATCTTCCGTCACAACCGTTAGAACAAGTATCAGAATATAAATATCTTGGCGTCACTATAACAAATAACTTGAGCTGGAACAAACACGTAACAAACACAAAACACATGTGCAGCTTCATTCCGAAAACTTTGCTTCCTTAGACATAAGCTTAGAAAGGCCCCAACAAACGTTAAGCTACTCGCCTATATATCCATAATTAGACTGCGACTGGAATACGCCTGCACTGTCTGGGATCCTCACACAAAAAGTAATATTAATGCTCTTGAAATGATACAGCGTAAATCCGTTCGATTCATTTTTTCAAGTTATCGTCCCAAAGACTCGCCGACAAGATTAATGGAAGGGCATGGCATTCCAACACTTCAATCACGCCGCCAAATTCAAAGGTTAAAATTTCTATTCTTGCTTAAAAATAACAAACTTTCACTTAAACCCGAGGAATTCCTTCAGCCACTCACTTCCCGACAAACACGGCATAGACACCTCGAATCTCCGACTCCGTACAGCGCTCGAACTAATATTTTTAAGTTTTCCTTTTTTCCCCGTACTATTACAGATTGGAATAAACTAACTGAATCGGCTGTGACCAATATTCACTCCTTTGAACATTTGGAATTCTGATTGCTTTGTTTTGCAACTTCGATGTACTCTTGTGTATGTGTACAATATATTTCCAACAGTGTACCACGTGTATTGCGGACTTTTGTAAGTTTGATGCATTCCTGTATTTGTTCAAACTATTTTAATCAGTGTATCATGTGTATTGTGCCTAAATTTTGTTTTCTCGTGATGCCCCTCCTGCTTGGGCCCTTCAATGGGCTTGCAGTATGTCTTAAATAAAATAAATAAAATAACAATTATGCTTCACCGTCATGCCCAACTTCACACTCATGGCACGCTGTTTCTTCAATCACATTAACTAATCTTTTTTGCATGTCCAATAATTACCATTAAAAGCATAAATAACAACCCAATGTTTCCCTGGCTTCATTATCTGTTCCTTTCACAACTTTATTGATTTGATTGATATGTAGGGTTTAACATCCCAAAACCACCATATGATTATGAGAGACACTGTAGTGGAGGGCTCCAGCAATTTTAACCACCAGGAGATTTTTAACGTGCACCCAAATCTGAGCATACAGCATCTTCGCCTCCATCGAAAATGAGGTCGCCGCAACCGGGATTCGATCCAGCGACCTGCGGGTCAGCAGCCGTCATTTCACAAGTTTCGGTCTAACATTGAAATGGGCCAATCAATCCATTCCCTTTTCATTTATAGAAAAATTAGTTCTGCTAGTACCCACTGTCAGCATACGTCAGTACTGGCAGTATGGGGCCTAAACTTGGAGATTAACAAAACAGCTGAAGGAAAAGCTGAGGACCACGCAGCGTGCAATAAAACATAGAATGATAGGACTAATATTGACAGATCGGAGGACGGCAGCATGAATATGAGAAAAGACTGGAGTTGCAGATATCCTAGCTGACATCAAGCGATCGAAGAATAGACCTGGGGTGGTCACGTAATGCATAGAACAGACAACCGGTGGACAGTAAGAGCAATTACAGAATGATTACTAATGTACGGAAAACGCAGTCAGGGAAGGCAGAGCGTTAGATGGAGTGACGAAATGAGGAAGTTCGCACGAATAGAATGGAATAAGCTTGCACAGAATAGCTTAAACTGGAGACAATTGGGAGGCCTTCGTCCTGTAGTGAGCTAAGACAGGCTGAGAATGATGACAATGATAACTGTCATAAAGTTGTCAGTAGCATTGGTAAAAGAAAGTGGGGGAAATCAATTCTATTTCTATAAAACTTCACAAATGTTAATAATGTTTGCTGTTCATAATTCATATGGCTATAGCGCACGGTGACAAGGACACAAATGAGAGACATATACATGCCACGTAGCATGTGTGTCTCTCTTTCGTGTCCTTGTCGTGGTGCACTGCGGTATAGCCATATGACTGATGATCTCCAACCGACTAGCCCCTCGATGTACCTAAGACATTCTCTGTGTTGCTGCTAGCCCTGCTTGCTTTCATCAAGACGGCAAGAGACAGATTTTACCCACTCAGATTTATGATCAAAAGTAAATAGGCCACAGTGACTACAGAAGAATAAGAAAGAAATTTTTCGGGTCGCCTGATGAGCTCCTTGATGGGAGGTTGTGAAGAAAGCTTGTGGGGATCTGAGGCACGCCCGAAGCCACTAGCCCACTAGGCAGACATCTTGCTGTTCTGTTGGTCCCTTTCGTCTTTCATGCTCTTGTGACGGCAAGTGTCAAAAACTGGCGCCATGCATCAGTTCTCGTGGTGACGTTGCATGCGGTCTCAGGGCTGCGACAATTCAGTGAGGTGTCACAGCAAATCGCCACATGACTCGGTCACACCATCTTTCGCCATCCAGCACCATGAGAGCATGGGAAAGGGAAGGGACTGGTAAAATGGCGAAATGTCCATCAGTGGCTCCAGGGGTGCCTCAGTGCCCCAGATCCTTCTCTCCTTAATTCAGACAATGGCTCCTCCTAAGGAGAGCAAGAACATCTTTTCTTGCCCATTGATAGTCATTGATTGTTCCTCTTCTGCACTTTATCGTGAAGCTTCCTGAACACACAGATTTCTGCCAAACTCTTGACGTTGCATTCACATACACAATGACAGGCATATGCAATGTTATTTGTTATCAATCTTGCAAACAAATGAAAATGCTGCAGCAATGTTTAATGACGCCTTTATTTTGTTTTGTGTAAAGCTTGTAACAGAGCAAATACACCCAGGGTGAAGACTGCATTGATATGGCTGATGCGATTCAAGGCTCCTGTAGAAAAAGAGAGAGAGAGAGAGATAAGCGGAGCTTTTATTACGATGACTTGCATTTACAATGGCAACATGTTAATCTCGGTAAAGTGTAGTTCTGGGCTTTTTGTTTATTCAGGCAATATGCAATACTTTTGCACTTCTCCCCTGCTAGTATATAATAGCAAAGTCTAATAAAATCTGGAATAGATGTCACAAGGCAAACACCCATAACAGCACAGAAAAGTAGAATGGCACAAGCGCACATATGCACACCAGTATGCACACAGGAACCACCTGAATGCCTCATTTTCAGCTATATAACAAAATTGAATTGTACAGTTTGGACAACTACACATGTTTTACTCTTGCAGTTTCATGTACAGGTGTGACAACCTAATACCAAAAGAACATCTTAAAAGTTTGTTATAACTGCTTAATCTTACTTTACTGATAATGCAGACTGTTTATAGAAGAAAAATTTTCAGGCCTCTCCTTGTATGATGACATATAGTAGCAGCACAAATCAGAACGACTTACATAAGAAATGCTCACAAAGTGCATTGGTAAAACCATCGGTGGACTACAGTTAAATATTTGGGTGCTATCACACACAAATTCTGTGAATTGGTCTTGCTTCTGTGAGATAAGTCTACATTGGTTCAAAAATTTAGGCTATTGACCAGCAACTCTGCATACATTGTTTAAAGAAGCTTCATTTTTAGCTTGAGGCAAAAAGGGGAGGTGGAGGAGTAAAATTTCTGGTGTCAATATGGCTTTTGTAATCAAGCTGTAGAAACTGGAAACTTTACAATAACTCGATTAATAAATGCTTGCAAGCATGTTTATGATTGCCTAGTCTAAAAGCAAGTAAAATGATTCAAAAAGCTATTCAGAATTACAACAGTACTTATACTACTAAGGGAAAAGTTATGTGGCGTTACTGCATAGGAAATAATGAAACTTGCATTATATCCGTGACAGTGCAGTGATTTGGAAAAGTGGTGCAGCTTCAGCAGCAAAAATCACTCACCTGAGCTCGGCTGCTTAGAAATGAGGCATGCAGACTTTGCCAGCAAATAGCTCGGAGATGACGGTGATCCACAGTGCGAGCACAAAGAAGATGTAGGAGAGACCCACTTGGTGACTGCTAGGCAGCTGGTAAGGCTCGCCCCCGATTTCATCCATGCTGAAGCCCACCGGAAAGATCACAGCGGCCAGGCAGAACAGCAGCACTGCACGAGCAGTGTTCACACTACTCCAAATTCTCTCTGGACTGCTATAACATCAAAAGCAAGCTTTTAGTCTGAAGCGAATGTGGCCATTAGTAAGCATGAAAGCATTAGTTGCCTCACCAAACACAAAACGTGACCATCGACATCACCACAAGTGACGCATGAAGTCACCACCTTATGACACAACCACATTATCACACCATGACACCACAGGGTCGTTGAAATTCGAGAAGCCTGTCATGGCGTTACAAAGTATGATGTGAAATTATGATATCACCACATGACATCCTGCGCTTCGTCCTAGGTGGGCCAATCTCAGAGGCACTACAAGACTGTGTGAGGTGCAGAAAGCTTACGATTCCTCCAATCCCGGAGGTATTGCAAAATCACATGGGCACAGAAAGCTTTTAAGGAAAAAAAAAGGAATCTATACGATTGACTGAGAAGAAGAAAGACAAGATGACTCTTGCTTTCAAGTTGTCTTAGGCAAACCCATAAGAGATTGAGTGACTGTGTTACAAGTGGCATGAGATTGCAAAAAGAAAGTATGAAGTATGTTATGCAAGTAGCTAATATATTGTAATTAAGGGTTCACATGAAAATCTACACCAAAATGCATTTGAGAGGGGCACATAATCAGACTGAGTAATGAAAAAAAAATATTTGCACACTCAGTATGAAATCAATTTATGCTGCAGTGGAGTTGAGTAGTTTAATGAAGACAATGATAATCCTGAGTCTCGAGAATGGTGGCACGTGGGACATACTTTTTGAAGCCACTATAAAAGATAGCATGCAGCTTGTGACTCAAGATATAGTTCTAGAAGACATTCAACTTGAAACAAAATATGCCACCAAGGCTGATTTGTAGGTGATGTACATAACGTGGCTTTTACCATTCCAGTAAGTAACCCTAGACCCTTCATAAATGTCTCTGCCAACAAAAGGTGCACATTAAGAAGGTGCTTGCTGCATTGTAGTAGTTAAAGCTATAGAATTGCCCGGAATAATATAAAGTCAATATTTCATTTATTCGTAGCAAAACAGTTAACAAAAATGAATATTGTGACAGGTGGTGCTGCAGCATGCCGCACAATTTCTCAGTAATAAACATCAGTGACAACTTCCAGTTGCATGAAATTTTGCTTGAGAGAATTGCACTTCAAAGAAAAAAAAAAAGGTCTGGAACTAAGATGATTTATGAGTTATAATAAAGTAAACCTAGAAGATTCTTGTCAAACTGTTATGTTTCTAACAAATTTTTGAATATAACAATCACTTTTTTTTTTAACTTGGTTTAGCGTCCCAAAGCAACTCAAGCTATGAGAAACACCATAGTAGGGGTCTCTGGATGATTTCGTTAATAATCACTCAAATCATCCCGCATGTGCACTTCATGCGTTTCATCTTTATTGAAATGCAATTACTGTGGCTTGCATCGCACCCACATCTTATGAGTTCGTGACCGAGAATCACAACCATTGGAACAATGCAGCGACTTTTTTCAAGTCAGCTGTAACCTTGATGTAATGACGTTTTAGCGTAATGACAAAAGACAAGCTTACTTGCAGAGAAACCCATCCACCGTGCATATGGCACAATACGACCATTCCACCGTGACAGCCCAAGCAACACTGTGGTTGCAGTGATGCACACACAGCCCAACACTATGCAAACAAGAGCCAGCAGCCACTCTGGCTGCAAACGTGGAGGAAAGCAGGTCGGTGGCCGGCCCTGTAGCGTGGTGCACGTCTGTAGCAGCCCAAGCCGCATGTCCCCTGTACAGAGGAGATATTCACTAAAGCACGTGCAATGAGGTCAAATGTCTCCACACTTTTTCTTTCTGATTCTAAATGATGTCATCCGAAAAGGTACACAAAAGTATAAAATATTTTCACAGACGTTTTCCCACCTCTGCGGGTGGCATGCTCAGGATACACTGACACCCAGTGAGCAAAAGTTGCCCAGTCCACTGCTAGTCAGATATGTCCCAGTGAGTGGCTGGTAAGGGGTTGCGGTTGTTGCTACAAACCGAATCAGTGTCACGAAAAATCGGCTTGCCACAACAACTGTAGCCCCCTGGTAGACATTTACAGGGACATATGTGACTAGCAGCAGACTGGACGACCTCCCTTCATTTGGTGTCAGTGTATACTATAGGTGCCACCCACATAGGTGGTGAAATGTCTATGTAATTTTGGCATATGTCTGTTGAGTTAAGTGGAGCAAATATTTTAGGAAAATGAACTCACCGGGCTTTTGGAACATTTCTGCACTTTTGTTCCCAAAGTACTCTGCTTATTAGTATTATTCTAGCAAAGATGCTCCTATGCACAAGTGGGCAGTATTAAGGCGATAGCTGTACATATCTCATGAGACCTGTGACCGCCTGGCAGCGTCAACAGAACATGTGGGAAAAAAGATCTCCCCATCAGCAGCAACAGCCACAGCAGCAACAAAGGCACTGGCCTTGAAAAAGTGGTGTGCAGCACAAAAACTAAATAGGCCTCCCTGGCTTTGATGATGATGATGGCTTGCGATAGATATGGAGAATTGGACTTGAGGGTGATAATGTTAGAGACAGCGATAGACTGAGGCTTGCATAGGCAACAATTGATAAAATTGGATAATAAGTGATAACAATACATTGAGGCATACAAAAGCATTAGGGTCAAATAGATATAGACATATAAACCAAAAGGACATTGACAACTGAAAAAAAGCTGATAACGCCTGTTGAGATTGCTAAACCTAATAATGGAATAACACATGCGAAAGGAAGAGAACATTTGCAAATGAAATGAAATCGATTCATAAAGGCTCTGACTGTCAAAGCCGTGTTACCAATTGATAAGGGACTCCAAAGAGCTTTTTATCTGTGACTACACCAGAGCTTTCTACATAACACATCTACGCCTGTTGGGCAATGAGAAAACTGCTGTTCTCGACCCCATTTTGTCAAAACAAAGCTCATAGCAATTATAGTAGTTATTTTAATCATTTTCAGTCAATATAGAAGGGGCCTGCGGTGTGCAAGAAGCCACAAGCCACCCGGTATGATTTAGGCACCACCCATGTGATTGATTCTGAGAAAGAAGGCACAATATAATGCTCAGGTCAGTAAAGGATCACAGAATATGAAAACCATGGTTAAGTAATAACAGACAACAGGCCTCAACCCACACCTAGCACATGACATCCACCCAGCATGTATCAAGCTAAAGGAAGCTTTGTTAGCAGGCAAAAGGAAAAATAAACTCAGATAGTGAGACTCGCTGTCAAGTTGCATATTGTGATGAAACAGTAGTCTCCTTCCTACAGACGTACTGGAAGTGCTAGTGAATAAAACTGCATTTACTCAATGATGCCTTCAGGAGAGTGGGTGTGAAAATAACCCTAGCTGCCAGTTACAATGAAGCAATAATGATATCTGGGGTTTTACATTCCAAAACTACAGCATTATTATGAGGCATACCGTAGTGAAAGGCTCCTGAAATTTGGACCATCATCTGTCTTGTGCTTGTTTGTGTCCTCTTACTGTGTCCCGTTAGTATACCCTGCCATTTTTTCAGTATAAATCAATACCAACTTGCCCGCCTATCAACTCTTACATGACCTCTAGCATTATGCCCCCATCGTGATGCGACTGCCACAAACAGGATCGGTCCTGCGACTCTCGGGTCCTCAGCCAAGTACTTTGACTGCTACATCATCGTGGCAGATGGTTACATTGAAGCAAGGTTTATGACTGGGCTTGTAGACAATGGACAAAGAAAGGAATGTGCTTATCTTTAATCTCTTCTTTGTTCGTAATTCACATCTGAGCTACTAGTTGAAAATGTCAGTGACATATATGTCACAAGTCATTTCTTTTTACGTTGCTTCATTAATTTTTTTCCTTATTGCTTGTCCATTATGCATGAACAAGTGTGTTTGCATTAAAGTTTGATTTTGTGAAATGAAGTCCATGTGCTTTACGTCCACCACTTGTGTTGGCCATTTTTCACACTGTTAGCCCAGCAATTCACATTTACAGCACATTGCATTCCCTTGGCATCCATTGCCAGTACCAAGATAAAAGCTATCAGTCATCTCTATCGGAGACCACCAATGTAACATGGCTATTTCTTGTACACACAAGAAGCATTTTTCTCTTTTCCCTCCTATCCTGCATTAAGATTTCAGAAAGATACACGACTGTATACGATAAAGCCCTGTTGTTAGGCTTGCAACATCTTGTCAATGAGCTTTGATGCAAACCACCCAGTTTCTATTAACTGTGCCCTAGCACAACACTTTATTTTTATGCCTTAAAAGCACTGACAAAACAACTGCACCATAAGGGCCATGTTTTCTGGAGCGTTCAAGCAAAGAAAGCAAACAGCAATTATTCCAGACACAGTTATTCAGTATTGCTGTGCATGTTGAGACAGTACGGTCTATATCCGACGAAACAAAATAATTTTTGTTTTGTCGCCTAAAAGATCTTAGCTCATACCCACAAAGGAGATGGGCCACGGTGTACCTTATAAAAAAATTTAAGTACAATGCCACTTAAAACAAGAGAGCGTGCAAGAGAAAAATGTGGGAAATACAAGACGTAGCAAAAATAAAAAAGTGAAAAGGGCAAACTAATTCGAGAAGCCAGGCATAAAAGATAGAAAATTAAAAAGGGGAAGAAAGCAATTGTAGCAATCAGGCGGTATCACTAGCAACAAATCCTTCCAGTTGTCTGAATCAATTTATGTAACACGCATGGAACAACACTGCAGCCCTTATCCAACTGACAGGCTTCAAATGATAGCAGGTTAGATCTATTAAATACTAATCCCAGCATAACAATCAGCCTCTCAAGAAACATTCGGCAGAGTGAGGCACAACAGCGGTACGAGAGAAGAAAGTGCAGATTGTTGTCCCTGTTTACCTGTTCACTTTTGCTCCTTTTCTTTTAGGGATGAAGCTACTGAAGGCGCGAGTCTGTCCATCTCTTGTATGTATGCACGTGAATGCCTAGAGTTCCACATTTTCCAACTGCCCACTACTTCGTCCTCACAAACATCCCACTATGCCCCATCACCGATCCACCACTTCACCGACCATAAACTAAATACTGTTGAAAACTAGCCAACATGAAATGCAAGATGGTCGTCTACTTGTATCCAGGTACGTGTTAAAGAACCATAGATTGTTCCACTTTGTCCATCCCTTGATTGTACGTGACCGCCTATAGTTCCACCTTTGCAAACTGCTTACTACTTCGTCCTTGCAAACATCCCACTACGCCCCATCACGGATCCATCACTTCAACGGCCATTAATGAAGGGGGAGCGGAAGCTACGTATAGCTACCACTTATGAATAATACAATTTATTGTATAAATATATACAGTGTTTGTAACGTCTTTGATGATGTAGGGGCGATATTCGCGGATGGTTCACAGTTTAGCGATGAAACTCTCCAGCGCTTTGCACCACTTACACTTCGTGAAAATCATCATCATCATCAGCCTGACTCCGTCCACTGCAGAACAAAGTCCTCTCCCATGTTCCGCCAGTTAACTCGGTCCTGTGATTGCTGCGGCCAATTTATACCCGCAAACTTCTTCTCTCATCTGCCCACCTAACCTTCTGTCTCCTGGGAATCCAGTTAGTTACCCTTAATGACCAGCGGTTATTCTGTCTACGCGCTACATGCCCGGCCCATGTCCATTTCCTCTTCTTGATTTCAACTATGGTATCCTTAACACCTCTTTGTTCCCTAATCCACTCTGCTCCCTTCTTGTCTCTTAAGGTTACACCTACCATTTTTCTTTCCATCGCTCACTGCGTCGTCCTCAATTTAAGGTGAACCCTCCTTGTGAGTCTCCAGGTTTCTGCTCCATAGCTAAGTACCAGCAAGATACGGCTGTTATATACCTTCCTCTTGAGGGATAGTGGCAATCTACCTGTCATAATTTGAGAGTGCTTGCCAAATGTGCTTGCCAAATTCTTCTAGTTACTTCAATCTCGTGATTTGGCTATGCGGTTGTTACCTGCCCTAAGTAGACATAGTCTTTTACAAGTTGAAGAGCACTATTACCTATCTCGAAGCGCTGTTCTCTTCCGAGGTTGTACATTACTTTTGTTTTCTGCTGATTAATTTTAAGACCCACCTTTCTGCTCTGCTTGTCTAACTCCGTAATCATGAGTTGCAAATCGTCCCCTGAGTTACTCAGCAATGCAATGTCATCGGCGAAGCACAGGTTACTAAGGTACTCTCTTTTAACACTTATTCCTAGCTGTTCCCATTCTATATAGGCCTCTGAAACCATCCTGTAAGCATGTGGTAAATAGCATTGGGGAGATTGTATTACCCTGCCTTACACCCTTCTTGACTGGTATTCTGTTGCTTTCTTTATCAAGCACTATGGTAGCAGTTGATCCCCTGTAGATTTCTTCCAGGATGTTTATATATGCTTCATTGACGCCCTGATTCTGCAGTGCCTGCATGACTGCTGATATTTCTACTGAATCAAAAGCCTTCTCGTAATCTATGAAGGCTATGTATATTGGTTGGTTATATTCTGAGCATTTCTCTATTACCCGATTGATAGTAAGAATGTGGTCGATTGTTGAGTAGCCTGTTCGAAATCCTGCTTGTTCCCTTGGTTGATTGAATTCTAATGTTTTCTTAACTCTGTTAGCAATTACTTTTGTAAATAGCTTGTACACTACGTAGAGCAAGCTGATCGGCCTGTAATTCTTCAAGTCCTTGTCATCTCCTTTTTTATGTATGAATATGCTGTGTTTCTTCGTGAATATGCAGTGATTTTTTTTTTTTCGGCAATGGGCATTGGTTCAGGTGTCACCAGCAGGGGTGTAGGCAGAAATTTTTGTTCGGAGGGTATGCCGTGGCGAAAGAACAGTACTTTTTTTTAAGTTGAGTGGACAGGACCCGGTGCGTTCCCCCTCTGACTACACCACTGGTCACTAGAAGCGTGGTCGGAAGCGTAGCAGATCAGTATGCATTCATATGCGCGCAAGTTAATCATGATACCCACCACCAACGTCGGAGACTATCCAGTCAGGGAGCACCAGACTCAAGATGGCAAAAATGTTGGCAAGGAAGAACAGAGTGCCAGAGATCACTGTCAACTTGTCCATAGTCGCGTTCTGTTGCACAACGATGACAGCTTCGATATATCACCCGCGGTTCCCGCACCTAGCACTTCGCCATTACTTCCACGACACTCAGTGTTTCGTACACTCATAAGCATCGGAAGCAAAGCGGTTTTCGCCCTGCTTTGATTCGGTTCGTTTGGTGGGTGACGTTATCCATGCCAGCGGGGTAGTGGCTCCTCCACCACAGAGAGTGCGCAGGACACAGCGTTCTCTGATCGTGGGTTCTGGAGTGGCGACACAGCACTGGCAGCACTGCACGACCCTGGCTTGCCATGGACTACATGACAAGCATGGGGCCTACGGCACCTATGGTCCCTAAAAGCAAAGAATAGATCACCGCAACAACATGAACCGAAACAACATAAAAAACAATAAGTTGTTGCTGCTGATGATAGTGGGTGCTTAAACTTTTCAGTGTCGTCTTCAGTCGCTCTTCACATCTTTTTGCATCCAATAAAAATTTATTTTAAATTAGGCATTTTTTATAAAACGAAGTTTTAACGTACATATGTGATACATTGCTACAAGTATGTTAAAACATTTTGTGTTTTTTGCACTTACAGTGGCCATACAAAAAGAGTTCAGCAACCCTGTTACACGTGGTTTATTTTTTATTGTTGTGTGTGTGCCTGCTGAGCGTGTTTGTGCGTATGCAGTACTGAAGATGGCGTAAAGCGAGTTGTGGTGCGCTGTTCGATAGGATTGTCTTGTTCCAAGCTCGTTGTGGTCGACGGTGCGTCTGAATAATCGTCTTGGATGCGTATCAGTCTTCACCTACAGTGACACGCCGGAACACTTCTTGAAACGCCATGAGCATGAGTGTCGACGCGTACGGACCGAGCTCGCAGACGCTCACATTCCTCGACACGGAGGAAGCCAGCGACTTGCTGGGAGCCGACACGCAGGGATCAGAGTTTGATTTCACAGACTTTACGCTACCTTCCCAAACCCAAGCGTCGCAAGGAGATGGCGGACAGACACAAGGAAGCCGTGGTGGACAGGTGGGTAGTGTTGCCGCGTGTCCTCGTGCCACTTGCGACGGTAGTTGTGTTGCCGCGATTCCCCTTGCGCTAGGCCTACTTCGTAGGCGAGTGCGATAAGCCTCTTGCTTATTTCATTCGTTACTGGTTACTCGCAGTGCAATACGCGCACCGTGTCGATTGCCAGTGCGTTTGATGGTATCCTCGCACGGTTGGCATCGGTCTGTGCGATGGTATTTAGACCACGGAGGAGCAATAACTGTAAGGTCGTTCGGGTGAACCCGGCGATTTCGTTACTCGCGCCGGAACGCCAATTATACGACGAAATCATGCCGTCCTTCTTATCAGAATGTCTGAAGGCTTCTCCGTACTAACTAGCTGACGGTTGAGTTTATTTCCGTATTGATGCGTCAACAATGGCGCGCATGTTTGGAGGCCATGATCATAGCCTCCGTGGCGCGAAAGCAGATTCGTTAATGCCCTCGTGTACTGAAAAAAAAAATATATGTCTACCAAGCAGTTGCGTCACGCCTGGAAAAGAGTGCACTTGTTTTAGTTCTCGTGCATATTGCTACTTCCAGGGAATGCGGTGTCTGAGGTAACGGTCTTGAAGTACACTCCTGCACGAGTACGAAGGGGCATCGTGCGGTAATCTTGTGCCGACATGGCCTCGACATGTGATAGGAGAGTGCATTCGCGCGTTTTGGGCGAGTACTTGTTCCTGCAGTGCAGCGCGGTCTTAGAGGTTGTCCAGTCGTCTTTTTAGAAATCATTGCCATTTCGTCCTTTGGTTATTGCCGATTGTTGTTCAATGGCTCGAACTTGGACGTCCTAGAACACCTGTATGAGTTTGGAACCGATGCTGAGCAGTGCTGAATGTTGTCGGCGTTGTGTTATATCACTTAAACGCGAATTAGTCACGAAATGCGCTCCTTTTTTCATATAAAGACTGGTTAAACATTTCACTGACATTTTTTTTTTTGTCCCGTCACATAGCTAACTCAGCTATCCCATACTTCCTGTGCACCGAAAACGTTGTATGGTCGCAATTTATGTTCATATTTTGTTTTTATTTTTTACTCGCTTGTTGGGCTTTACAGTTGTACCAAAATAATGCGGTATGTAGGCTACGTATAAGGATGTGTTGTATTCCTTATGAAATTCTAGTCTCTGCTTAATTTACATGGGTTGAGCACAAATATCCATGTGACTAGCCCTTTATCCCACTAGCTTTTGTCGTATGTAGTCGGAAGAGGTTGGATATTGAGATGCCGATGCATAAAGTGGGTCTGACTTTTGTCACCGTTTGTGGATATGACAGTTGAGCAGTTTGAAAGGGTTTGCTGTTGTATTCTCGCCTTGTGTATGTAGATGATCACTAGCACCGCCAAACTGGCTACGGCGTTGGACACAGCATTGGATCCATTGACTGAACTTATAGGCACATTTATGTTTAATGAAATCAGAATTACGCGTAAAAGATGAAAGAAAACTGTGTGAAATACACCCTCAGCTACATTGTGGATAACCGAAATGCCATACTTCCCTTGTAATGTTCTTAGGTGGCTATTTAACTAATTGTTTTGCCAAGCTGTGTAGTAAAAAATCTCGTTAAATTGATTGCCAGGCTGTTTTTTGAGCATCCATGCTTTTGTATCACATGGGCAATTTCGAAAGAAATTATGACCCTTGTTGCAAAGTGTACTTGCTTTGGCTCGTTTCTTCAGTGTTCCATATCACTTGAAGTATAGTAGATATATTTCTAAGTTTTTTTGTAACAATGTTGTGGCACGTTAACTCCACCCAGCCGTCCTAGCTCAAAGCTTGCTTCCACCCATCATGATCACGTGACAACTCGTGCACTAGGTACAAAACCTGCCTCCGAGCACCACGCATCGGGGCTGTCAGGGCACCTCCCGCATATTCACTGGTGGTGGCCGCAACAAAGGAAGACGCAGCAGCTGTAAGAGGGACCCTGAACTACATATGAGCCATGTTAACGTGTAGCTCTAGCTTTTATCACCCTATCAAAGCATGATGCATCTTAACGGTGCGAATGTGGCTCATGTGCAAAATGTCGTTACTGTTGTGACAGTCTGTGTCAGACATGTACATTTTAATTTGTTAACTAATGCAAGAACGACCAACCCAAGAGGTTCAAGGGTGTGATATACAAATGCGTCTATGGATCGTTACAGTAAATCCTGACATATAAATGTGTCTGAGAAATTGTTCATGAATACAAGGGAGATCTCAACAACACTTGCATGATGCACTTGCAATAATGCTTCAACTACATCCTGTGGATAGTGTGGTTATGCAACTGTCAGGTCTGCAGCTCTGTTAGTATTCTCAAGTCGAGGCTGCAAAATCTGTACAGACTGCAAACAGACTCTGCAAGTTTCCCAAGTGCATGTTTTTCTGTGAATTCTCCTAGACATGAAAATGTCGTGAAGCCCATCACAGCCAGAACAGGCCTGCCCGGTACACTTATGTCAAGTGTGTCACCGCAGGAGCATGTAATCAAGAAAAGCATAGTGAAAGCCATCTTTTCAGTTCGCTGCTGCTTTAAAGAACCGTGCCCATGTAGAGACACATGCTCCATGACCAAGTGACACCTTTAGTTCACAAGAGTGTAGCAAAATCCTTTTGAAGCATTTAAGACTTCTGCAGTTATATCAACAATGTCAACCACAAAGAATTCTTCACATATGACATTGTTATCCACGTTAACATGCTTTGAGGTAAGTGCTGCTCGCTATGCCGCCACACTAGGCTCATTCCAAAAAATGTGGCGTGGCACATTATAAACGCTTGACAAAAGTGAATAATTTTAGCTAGATAAGCTATTCGAAAACATAACTGATGAACTGGCATCGAAGCCAAGTTGTTTCGTTTTACAGCGCGGCTAATTTTCTTGCAAAGGTCCTTGAAAAGAGAGCTGAAAAAAAAAAGCCCTAGTCCATCTTTTTTGTGCCCTCTCTTGCAAATAACCGTGAAAGTTCGTCAGTACACAATATTTTCTTCTTTGCATGATGACAGACACCACGCACACGAGCAAAAACACAAGAGCAACTGGGATAGGAATGGCAGCTTTTGCCTACCACATCAGAACGATAGCCTGACGCCGCTGCCACTGCATTTTCATGACATATGTCCGGTGGAATAGGTCTATAGAAAATATTCACGTGATGTTATCTGCAAGGGGCACCAGCGAGACAGTGGCTATACTTGTGGTGTCACGTGTGAACGCCATCGTCGGACTAGTTTTTTCGGCAGCACATGTTACACTGATATTTTTATTAGAAAATGGCGGAAGCAGATGCAATGCCGCCAAACATCAGGCTGTCCTATGCTGGATCGCTGACAGACTACATCTATGGCCGTGCACTCTTCCAACGCTGCCTGGTGAAAAGGGCTCAGTGATTATCTCTTTTACTGTTGATGAGAACTAATAACCGGTGATGCCAAGGATCTGGCATACAATGATGGCATAATTTTTTTTGAATGATAACGAACAATGATGCAGTTAAGATTGGGATGATGGATGTAATCCCGATGGCTCAGATGATTAGGACGACACGTTCAAGGACTGGACAGCTCGCTCATTTTCTGGCAAACTTCGGTTTATTTACACACTGACACTTATTCACAAACAAAGGCCGGGGTGGCCACTAAACGAACCGCACAGTAAGCAATGGCATGTATTAATATCAACTGCCGGCGTTACTGGCCGAGCCCTTCGTATACTTCACCCTTCGACACCAACTTTTCTATGTAGTATCAACCTTGGATCAGAGTCTGCGCTAAGCACGACCTCTGTCCCCCTCAACGTGGTATCAACCTTGGATCAGAGTCTCCACTAAGCACGACCTCTGTCCTCGCTTCCCGATCTCGTTCTCGAGCACCAAGCTCCCCTTCTCTCCATTTCTCTTAAATACCTCCCGTCTCATCTGAGACAGCCTCGTGGGACGAACCCTTACTCGATGCTCCACCAATGGAGTAAACAACTCCCTTTCCTCGGAGACGGGTCTCCACCTCTGCGTTCCCACACTTTGCAATCCTCCGAGCATCGGCTAAGAACTCCGTCATTTCAACGACGTACAGCTTAAATGATACTTTCGTGCGACAACAGGCCTGTCTAGATGGCCGGTCGGCTGTCTGGCGTTAGTAGACACGATTGTGCCGTATATGCACACGTATTGTTACAGGATGGTGCCACACTATCTTGTTGGGAGCCGTGTCGCAACAGCGACCACTTATTTCTCAGTCTGGCTCACCATGAGAGCGCTACCACCAGGTGGGTGATTCCCCAGCACGAGGTGCGCTGGACAAAGGCTCACGGAGTTCGACGACAAAG